TTTCAGATTCCTGGAAACCATGTGACTTACATAGTTTTCTCTCTGATAAGAAACAGGAAGCACTGCATTCCAGCATCATAGATATGTAAGGCAAAAGGCAAAATCAGTCACAAGATTTTCCACAACACCCCTGCACCTGATTTCATGCATTCTGTCATATATGTTAAGGTTTATCAAGCCATGTTAACACAATCATTTCTTGACTTTGGGCAAGTTACCTAATCTCTTTTAACCTCAGTTTCCCCATTTATGAAAAAAGGTTAAGAGGAGAATAACAACAGCAACAAGGATGCAAATGTTGCTTCAGGATCTCTTGAAGATGTTCTGAGCTAATGTGCCATTGTACTCTGCCCAGTATCTGGCACATGAAAAATAATTTTAAATAAAATATAATGGTAATGTTAAAAATCAGTGTTTTTGAAGAGTATTTAACCATGTGATATGTTGCCAAAGATAGTTTAAAGTCAAACAAACTATGACAAAATCCCAATGTTAATTTAAAAAATAACAAATTGATTTCCATACACAGGAAAGAAGCGTGGCAACATCTTACCAGTGGCACCATTAGGTGGCACCATTATGGCTGCTTTTATTGTCTTTGGCGCAGTTTTGACTCTTCATGTATTTCTGGAGTGACCAGCAATATACAAAGCAATACATTTGTTTCTTTTATGTGCACTCTATGTCTAAAGTCCTTTCTATCTCTTCTCTTTGGTTTGCAAACATAATTGCTTTATTAACATGGTCCTCTCTTTTATGTAACTTTCTTGTAAAGACACAGCCTCCCCAGGGAAAGCTTCACTTTGCTCTTGTCTTTGAATAATTGGCCAACAACATAAAAAATTCATCTCCTGAGAAGAAAATAGGGGTTTTTTTTGCTCCTCATTTTTTTTCTCTCACAGTCATTATTAAGAATCAAAATTATCCTTTCAAGCCTTCCCTTCCCCCATGCTGTTTTTCTGTAACATGCACCTGATCCTGAATCAATGCATGCTATAATTCCAAACAATCTCATGTAAAATGTCACCAAGAGTAGAACACTATAACTAGTGATATACCCCAAGTCATCCTAGACTTTTTGGAAGCTAAGCTAAAATACATTGAATGTATAATTTACTCTGGTATACAGACTTGTTTTGTTTGGATGTGGATGCTTTTCTCTTGAGCTTAGACATTGCTTATGCCCATTTAACTCTTATATTTCTTTTAAAGTGCATTCAGTTTGGATGTTGGAGAAACCATATTTTAGTTAAATTGCTCACTTAAGGTTGCACCAATTTCATTTACAATCAGACAAAATTACATTACGTTTCCCTGTACATGGCCAGAATCACAAATGCAGAAAAGCTTCTCTATGGTGAATGGACAAGTTACAGTCTAAAGTGATGGACGAGTTCCCACTCCCAATATTAAGAATGTCTGTCTGCTTACTGTGACTTCAACCTCTGCCTGTTTTACCTGAAATCTCTAGAGGAAGTCATTTACTCCTATTCTCTTCTGTTTGCTGCTCAATGGCTTTTTCTTTTTTTCTTTTTTTTTTCTTTTAATCAGAGCCTTAGATAGTCTAGACTGACCTTGAATTCCCTATGTAATTGAGGATGACCTTGAACATTTGAACCTCCTGTTGATACCCCTTGAATGCTAGGATTATAGGCCTGTGCCACCATACCCAGTTTTATTGAGTGCTGGTGACTAAGCACAGGGCTCTTTGCATGCTAGACAAGTACTTTCCTAATTGAGTTACATTTTCAACCCCTATTTTTCTTCTAAGAAAAAAAAATTCTATCTGGTCTTTTGGATTTTTTCAATCATTTTAATCACCCTCTTAGTGACTATCTTTACTTATTTTATTTCCTTTCCTTCTGTCATGTTAAATGGGAAAAAGCATGAACAAATTCCAGATCAACGGGTATGAGCACAGTTTATGTGAAAACCATATCACTGCTTTGCCCTTGATCATCTGTACACAAGGTTCTTTGTGGTCTCCAAGAAACAATCTCTGCCCTGGTCTCAGCTGCCTCCCTCAGACAGTGGGACAGCATCCATCTTTGCAGCTCTTTCTCATGTTAGTTTATATCTTGATTAAGATTTCCAAACATAACCAGCTTTTTCATATGATGCCTGAGGTAACACTACCAGGAGCAAAACAAGCAGAGGAGCTGTGCCAGCTGTGCTGGGAAGATGCCAGGCTTGTTCTTCATCCAAACACCCTGAGAAAAATCTGCGCTCTGCCAAGGAATCCAGCCCTGCAGAGGCCTGGAGCGAGTCTGCCCTGACCTCCTCTCTGATGTGTGGATTTCCTCTGCACAAGTCACTAAGGGCGAGCTGGCCTCTTTATTGGCCTATTTGGGGGCATAGAACTGTGTTTCCTGAAGGAGGCAGTCCAGTAAAATTTCAGAAATTTCTTCCTCTCCTTGAGTCTAAATATCTTCCCTGCCATTTGAATCTCTGGTCCAGTTCTGCTCTCTGTAGCCTCTTGGAATTAGTAAGTATTCTTCTTCCACATGGCAAGCTCTTCCTAAATTCCTTGCATGAATCAGTAGAAACCACTATTGACTAATTCCAAATCCAGGACTTTGAAACTCAGTTTTGACAAGAGGAACCTTCTACTACCTTTTGTGTCATAAATGAATCTGATGAAGGCACCAATTTCCCTCCTTTTCACAGATTTCCATAACCAAGCAAAACTGGCTTTAATTTTCAGAACTGTGACAGAATTCAGTGATTACCTAAGGCAGCTCTCACTTTTCAAATAAATAGCTTCAGGCCCAGAAGTCTAAAGTGAGATGGGGATTATAAATGCTGGTCGCTAATACTCTGGGGACAGTGCTGTAGCTGAGTACTTTTGTCTTGCTTGTTCTCAGTAGCTAAACTTCAATGATTGTAAATTGTTTACTAAACAATTTATTTTCACACATTTTTCTGAACGTATTCTCTAGTACGCTAACTCTTGGTAACATGCACTTGGACTTATTCTTTTTTAAAATATTTTATTTTTTAGTATTTCTATTTTATGTGTATGAGTGTGATGCCTGCATACATGTAAGTGCACCCATGTTCTGCAATGCTCACAGACGTCAGAAGAGGGCATTGGATTCCCCGAAACTGGAGTTAGGGACAGTTGTTAACTGCCATGTGGGTACCAGAAATTGAACCTGGGCCCTCTGCAAGAGCAATCTGTGCTCTTAACCAGTGAGCCATCTCTCCAGCCCAAGTACTTATTCTTAAATACTAATTTATTCTAAAATTTTCAAAGTTTGCATTCCAAAACTTTCCAAAATATGGGGCTAGAGAGATAACTCAGGCTGTGAAGTAAAAGTGGGGTTAGAGAGATGACCTGGGCTGTCAAGTACTTACCATGAAATCATGAGGCCCTGGTTTGGATTCCCAGCACCACACAAAAATCAGAAATGGGGTACATATCTATAATCCCAGGGTTGGGGAGGCAGACAGGCAGAATCCTGAAGGTTATTGCCCAACCAGCTCAGCCAAATTGATGAGCTCCAAGTTCAGTGAGAGACCCTGCCTCAAAAAACAAGGTGAAGAATGACTGAGGAAGGCATCGTACATCAACTTCTGGTGCCCACATGCACAAGCACCCATCATGTGCATACATACCTGCATGCATGTGTGCATATACCCTCATGACCATCCATATCACACACACACACACACACACAGACACACACACACACAGACAGACAGACAGACACACACACACACACACACACACCAAAAAGTATTATCAGGGAAAAATAAAAGACAACTATCTCAACATTTGCCCTCCATTTTTCCCAGACTATCACGTCTCTAGGGACCTTACAAGTTTGTGAGCCCACAAATGTGCACACACAGAGAGATCCTACCTCTCTACTTCTCTGTTTTTCCCCCCATGCTGACTTTCATAGGAACCCAACATCTTCCTTACAAACAGGTATATGCAATCCAGCCAGGGAAGCAACGTTTGACCTTACCAGGTATCTTACTTTCTTGTGGTAGAATACCCTGAAAAAAGCAGCTTAAGGGAAAAGAGGATTGTTTTGGCTTACAATTCCAGAGAGCTATCGTACCTCGCACCTCGTGGCAGAGAAGGTATGATGCAGGAGCAGAAAGCTGGCTTGTCACACTGCATCCACAAACAGGAAGCAGGGGGTGAACAGAAAGTGAAACCAGGCTATAAAGCCTCAAAGCCCAGCCATGGAGAGCTATTTCCTTCAGTGGCGTTGTACCTCCTCAAGGTTCCACAGCCCTCTCAAGCATTGCCAGCAGCTGGGGACCAAACATGCAAGCTCATGAGCCTACAAAGGAAGATTTCCCATTCGAACCACAACCTCTAATAAACAGCATGTAAATACAATGGGTAACTTAGCTAGAATCCAAGACAGGGCATAAGTGGAAAATGCATGTCTTTGACATGACCATGAATAGCTCTTTATAATGAGAATGCAGTGATCATTGTGACTACTGTCCATTAAACAACTGTAGATTCTAGCATCATAGCCTTTGAGGATGTAAAATGATAAGAAACAAGAGGGCAGCATGCTATCACTGTTTCTCACATATTTGATTGCTGACAGCAGGGATGCAACACCACAAGTTCTAGGGGAGAAGAGTGGCTGTAAATAAAGGCATGCTTTGCACCTAATTGTATGTACAATCCCTTCTCTTTAAACATACATAGAAGAGCATAAAAATGAAAATCCTGCTACTCAGGAAAAAACAGCTCGCAATATTTCAGCTTGCTTTCAGTATTTTTCTTGTACATATGAAAATACTTTTTACTAAGCCTCGTTTTCTATTTCCAGTACATTAAACTGTGTTCAGAATCATGACTTTGTTGTTTTTCTTGTTCCATTATTTACGGAACACATTCTCTGTTGGAAGAATTAATTGTTTCACAGTCTTTCTTTACCTATTGTGTCAGACAAGGTTTGTATTTCTGTGCTCTACCCATTCTAAGCTAAAGATAATGTGAGGGAGGGGAGAGAGAGAGAGAGAGAGAGAGAGAGAAAGAGAGAGAGAGAGAGAGATTACATTTGAAATTCTGTATCTGAGAGTGCTTCTTGGGAGAATTATGTAATAGCACTTGAAAAAAAAAAAGACAATACAAACCAAATGATGTGTATCACTCACTATTCCAGCAAAAAACTGATTCCAAGATCGTGGGCCCACAAATAATAGATGATAAAAGAGGAGGAATATGATGGTGAGAGAAAAAGGATATGGAGAAAATCTCCAAATGTCCTCAGAGACATTGGGTAAATAACATGAAGGACAGCTGCAGGGTGACCTAGTTTCTGAGAGGCAAAATAAACAAGGTTCCTCATTTAGAATAAACATAATGGAATGTAAGGAGCCAGATCACGGTCTGCACTATGGTTTATTTATTTAGGTATATAAGAAATAATGCTTCTAGGATAGCAAGTATTTTACACAGTGTCATGCTTCAACATTTGAGGACAGAGCTGCTCTGTTTTATTAACAGGCAATACAAAATCTCTCAGTTCTGGGAGAGACAGAGACATAGACAAATATTTGTTCCTCTAGCAAAACTCATCAAATCTTTCCTTGTGCATGGCTTCTGGCCAGATTTGGAGGACACAAGATGTATCCTTGGGCCAGTGTGGTGGCTCATCAGGTAAAGGCATTTTCCACTAAGCCTGATGACCTGAGTTTGATCCCTGGGACCCACATAGTAGGAGAGAATTGACCCCTGAAAATTGTCCTCTGACCTCCATACATTTACGGTGGTCCACAAATACACATATATACAGTAAATAGATATAATAGCAAAAAAAATAGGATGCATCCTCTACTTGTCCACCTTTGAGAAGACGGGGACATAAGAGATCCCATAACAACTGTGTAACTTTCCTTCAGGACACTGGTTATTGGATTAATCTCTGGCATCCCACAAGATTATTAGTGTCAGGGAGGATTTTATCTGTTTTCGCCATTGTTTTCCTGTCAGAGTGTTTGACATATAGATGTCCAGAGAATAGTTTTTGAATAAATATTTTTATAAAGGTTAATGATAACTGTGTAGCAGGATATAAAGAACTGTTAAATTCTTGGGAATAAGGAGATTAATTCTTAAAAAAAAAAAAAAAGCTAGAGGCTGGAGAGATGGCTCAGCAGCTAAGAACACCAGCTGCTTTTGAAGAAGATCCAGGTTAGATTCCCAGCACCCACCTGGTGGCTAACAACAATCTGCATATCCAGATCTAGGGGAATCTGATACCTCTCTGACCTCCTCAGGCATTGTAGCACATGGGTATACTTATAAACATGCAGGTAATACACTCATACACATAAAATAAAAATAATAGATAAAATATTTTAAAAGCTAAATAGTTTCATGGAAGAAATGACTTTGAAAGTTAAGAGATTATACTGTGGGGGGAGCGGAGACAAGAGAATTGTTGGGTCTTGCTGACTGTCAGCCTAGTTTTGAGAGATCCTGTCTCAAAGGTGGAGAGTGACAGGAGAACACACATCTGACATCTTCTGGCCTCCATATATGCATGCACAGGGGCATGAGCAGAAATATATGTGTGCATACACCACATACACTCTACATGTATTCACACGCCCCCACACCTCCACACAAAGGAAAGTTTAGGAGACCAAATAAAACTAGAAAGTGGTGGGATCTACACAACTAAAGTAGAAACAGTAAGAAGGATGGGGGAGTGGGGAGTAAATTAAAAAATATTGCAAAGCTAAAATAGCAGACAGTAGCTGCCAATGGGAAATAAAGAATAAGGAACAGGACTCTAGGAACACAGGAAGCCCTTGGAGGACATGGCTTCATCGAATAAAGAGTGATCAGCTTACTCAGGTCCACAGAGGGCACAGGGTCTGTTGCCAACGTGAGTCACCCTGAGGAAATGCCAGGCAAAACACCAATCATGCAGACCTGTAGTTTATGAGACCAGTTCAGAGGTACAGATTTTTTGAGACATCACAGTCTGTTCAGAAGCATTCACTGGATGGGTTCCAATCCAGATCCTCCTTCCAAGACATTTACTGGGAAAGGGGCTTGAATGACTGACACTATCACTGTCTGTAATGATCAGTTTTGATAGTGGACTTGACACAAGGTTGAACCACCTGGGAAGGGAGCCTCAAAGAATTCTCTGAATTGGGTTGGCCTCAGGGGTGCCTGTGAGAGATTTTCTTAGTGGTGTTAAGAGGTGGGAGACTTACCTGAATGTGGGTGGCACCATTTCTTAGGCAAGGTGAATGGAAAGGAGCGAGCCACTGAGCATAGCATGGATGTATTATTTAACTGCCTTCTGCTCCTGACTATGGGTATTAGAAGACTAGCTGTTTCAAGTTCCTGCCACTCCGACTTCCTACAGTGCTGTGCTATAACCTGGAATTATGAGGCAAATAAACCCTTTCCCCCTTAAGTTGCTTTGGTCAGAATATTTTGCCAGAACAACAGGAAATAAAAACAAGATGCTGTTTAGTACAGTATATACATCCATGGTGGTGTTTCCAGGTAACTGCCCCAGGACAAGCCAGGCAGTTCCTCTGGATAGACTCCAATATCTGACTGAGTTAACCATATGATGGGCAATGCCAGCCTGTACATAATTACCTTGTGGGTGTCCTTCTCAGAGTGTGGAAACAAGCAAGGCAGGGCCTGGGAGGTGAGATCTGCTGCCTCGGAAACATGTACTTAACCTAAAAAACTAATAAAGGGCTAGATCAATTACAAATGAGTAATAACATACAGTGAAATTGTATAATGTAAAAAGAATATACTTAATTATGCACTACAAGTTGAAGTGAACTATAAGTCCAGAAAGAAACAGGGACCATTTCTTCAGTCTTCCACAGTGGTCTGGTTTCTGTAGATACTATGTTAACACATACCATTACTTATTGTAAGAGAAAAACCTATTGTTTCTAATGAGACTCTACTTATTAGTAATAATTTCATGTGTACCATCACTGACATCTTTATATTATTTCCTTTCTCATTTTATTTTATTCAGTGTATGTGTGTGTGTGTGTGTGTGTGTGTGTGAGAGAGAGAGAGAGAGAGAGAGAGAGAGAGAGCATGCCACAATGCATCTGTGGAGGACAGATAACTTTTTCCACCATGTGGGCCCTGGGAGTGACCTCAGGTGATCATCAGTGTTGGTAGCAAGTGCCTTTACCCTCTGAGCCATCTCACTGGCCCACATTATTTTGGTCACACACAAATTCTCCATTCTAACAATTCAGGCAAAGAAATTCCATAGGACTCGTTATGACTACCAAAGAGCAAAAAAATCAGTATTTTTTTTGATGAAAAGTGTCAAGCATCAAAAATAATGAGGTAATAATACAACCCCTCTCCCCAGATCCCTACCCAAGAGCCACAACTGTGAGTGTTTAGACACTCATAAAACACATGTTTTGTCTAACCTATTTTTGCTGAGCTATGAAGCACTCATGTGCAAAAGAACATATTTTTTTAGGTCCCCCTGTTTCTCTAGTGTACAAATATTCTTTCCATATCCACCATCATCACCAAAATTCTGCTAATGGCCAAGAAATGAATACCTCTTATTACAGCCTCAACTGCAATAATCAATTTTTCTCTTTGCTTCCAAACAAGGAATTGGTAACTCCAATCTACACAGTATGGTAGAGTGTCCAACTTGTAGCCCATGGACCACATGTGTCCCCAGATAGCCATGAGTGTGGCCCATTTCATTTGTAGATTATATCATGTTATAAAGTCAAAGGGTTGCCCACCTTACAGAAATTTGTTTTGGCCAGTTTGTGAACTCCCAGAAAAGACATGCAAATATTTTACACACATTTGTTATATAGAATTCCAGAGTGTCTATCCCGCTGTTCTAGAAACCTGTTTCCTGTACAAAGTTAAAAACCTCTGAAAACCCACTCAAATGATGCACCTCTTAGCCAATTCTTCATAGCAAAACCTTGCACCTATTCTTTCACCAGGATGTCCCCTCACCACTTCACCTGTAATTGACTTCCCTCATATTTCTTGTGAAATTTACACCAGGCTGCTCTTTCACTCTAGTGTTTATTAGGCACCTGCTCTGTGCCAAGCACTGCACTAAATGCTGTGTTGTGCACTGTTAGAAGAGCAAAGGCCATTTCAATATCTAAGATACATTCTGTTCATTATAGTTGTAGCTCCCTTGAATAGACACAAAAACAAGCAGTGGCCTTCCTGCTGGCATTGAGTTCAAGAAGAAGTAAATCAGTCTCATAATCCCCCACACCCCTTTTTAATGGAAGGAGATGCCTATAGAGAAAGGAAATGCCTATTTGGTTATCCTTGGCAATGCAGGAGAAGCCCAAAGGGAAGTTCTCCCTACTCTACCCCAACAGACTGAGCACTGGAAAACTATTTCAGAATCAGAAGCTATCCAATCTTCACTAGCCCTCTGAGTAGCACTTGAAGCATACTTTGTCTTTGAGAGAGCTTAGCTGGGTCCCCACAAATACCCATGACCCAACAAGAAGTACCCCCTATGGAATCAGAAGCATCAGCCTCTTACCCAAAAGGCCAACGTGCTGGGTTTTGATTTTGAGAACATGTATTTTTAAAGGTACACAGGCCCCCTCCCTCTAATAACTGTGCTGTCAGGGTTGGAGAGTTGGCTCAGCAGTTACCAGCACCGGCTACTCTTTCAGAGGTCCTGGGTTTGGTTCCCAGCACCCACAAGTTGGCTAATAACCGTCTTTTAACTCCTGTACCAGGGATCCAATGCCCTCTTCTGGCCTCCACAGACATTTTATTTATTTATTTATTTATTTATTTATTTATTTATTTATTTATTTATTTATTTATTTATTTATTTATTTATTTATTTATTTATTTATTTATTTATTTATTTATTTATTTATTTATTTATTTATTTATTTATTTATTTATTTATTTATTTTTGTCTTTTTGAGACAGGGTTTCTCTGTAGCCTTAGCTGGCCTGGAACTCACTATATAGACCAGGCTGGATTTGAACTCATAGAGATCCACCTGCCTCTGCCTCCCAAATGCTGGGATTAAAGGAGTGGGCCACCACGCCCGGCGTTCCACAGACATTTTATAACATAGATCAGCTTACAAATATGAGGGCAAAACACTCATACACGTAAATTAAAAATAACACTTAAGCCGGGCGTGGTGGTGCACGCCTTTAATCCCAGCACTCGGGAGGCAGAGGCAGGCGGATCTCTGTGAGTTCAAGGCCAGCCTGATCTACATAGTGAGTTCTAGGACAGCTGGGGCTACAGAGAGACCCTGTCTCAAAAAGACCAAAAAAAAAAAAAACCCCATAAAAAAACTATGCTGTTTACTAGAAGTTGCAGGTTATTAGCTAAGACTCTGATAGAAAGTAATTAACACTATTATCACTGAAGTAATGGTCTATGTCCCATTTTAGATATGAACTTCTACGTTCCATCCGGTACTGTGACATGTGCACCCTTGATGGGGCTCATCTTCGCAAAATATTGAAAGTGTTAAACATGTCCTTTTAGTGAAAAGATCTGGGGGATCTACTCAGAGACTGCCTGGACTTGATCCCTCCGACCTTATCCCATGTGGCCAGGTTATCCTTTGGGGACTTAGTAGGTGGATCCCAGGACCAAAGAGCCGCGCTCCAGGGTCACGTTGGTGTCACCCAGGTTGTATCCGCCTGGGCCACCCGGTACGACCGGCTGTCTGGCTGAGAAGAGCAAGGAGGTTGGAAGGTCACCCGGATCCCAGGCGGGGCCCGCGCCTCACTCCCTGACACGCCCGGGCGGGGCGAACGCGGGCACCAGACGGATGGCGACGCTGCCGGGCCCGCCTCGCACCCGGGCTCCCCGGAGACTCCCCTGAGGCCCAGGCTGGGCGGGAGCGCGGCCGCCTCCCCTGGAGAGGTGAGGGCGGGGCGGGGAGGCGAGGGCGCGGGGCGGGGACGGCGGGCGGCCGCAGCGGCTGACACGAGCCGAGCCG